CTAATGAGTTCCTGCTGTTGGGTGTGGCCTATTATGCTAATGAGTTCCTGCTGGGCTTTTTCTATAAAAAGAGCCCTGGCCAAACCTATGAATGGATGACCTCCAAAACGGCCTCTCGTGAACAGCCTTGCTCTCAGGTTTTGTAAACTGGAGGCTGTGGCTTCCTTGACTGAGTCCATTCTTCTCATGTTGGGTCTTCCAACATGTGGAGGGAAGTAGAAAAGAAGAAGAGTCCAGGAGCACCTCAAAGACTAACAAAATTTGGGGCAGGGAAGGAGCTTTCGTGAGTTACCACTCCCTTCTTCAGATACGAAAAGAGCAAGCGTCCAGGAGCACTGTTATGTATTGGGACTGAAACATTCCAGGACTAAGCTAACAAAATTTGCGGCAGGGGAGGAGCTTTCGTGAGTCACCGCTCACTTCTTCAGATACAGCTAGAATGGGAGTCTGTCTGTCCTTATATCACAAGGTTGATGGATTTCCATTCTGCATGGCTAAATGTGGTGCCTTCCATGGAGATGGATCAAGACGGGTGGCCCTGTGAGTCTGTCTGTAGCAGTAGACAAGAGCAAGAGTGCAGGGGGACCTTAAAAACTAACAACATTTGGGGCAGGGGAGGAGCTTTTGTAACTCCTCCCTTTCCCCAAATTTTGTTAGTCTTTAAGGTGCTCCTGGACACTTGTTCTTTTCGTATCTGAAGAAGTGAGCAGTAACTTACGAAAGCTCCTATCCTGCCACAAATTGTGTTAGTCTTCAAGGTGCCACTGGACTCTGGCTCTTTTCATATCTGAAGAAGTGAGCCGTGACTTCCGAAAGCTTGCATCCTGCCCAAAATTGTGTTAGTCTTTAAGGTGCTCCTGGACGCTTGTTCTTTTCGTATCTGAAGAAGTGAGCCAGTGACTCACGAAAGCTCCTCCCCTGCCCCAATTTTTTTTACTCTTTCCGGTGCTCCTGGACTCTGGTTCTTTTCTATTGCTCCGGACAGACTGACATGGCTACCCATCTTGATCTGTCTTCATGTGAGAGGACGGGCAGTCAAGTCTGGCATTAAGCTTTCTAATACAACCCTCTGTGTGTGCGTGCGTGTGTGTGAGCGCGCCTGTGTTGGGGTGTGTGTGTTCATTTAGAAGGCCATCCTTCAGTTTATCAAAACATGTTTTTAAAAAGAGAACGGCCGTCTGTTCGGGCTGCCAACCTGGCACTCGCCCCAGAATTACAATTGATCTCCAAGTGACAGAGATTTTTATTTATATTCATTTACTCATGAAAAGGAGCTGCGGTGGCTCAAGTGGTTAAGACGCTGAACTGCAGGCTGTGGAAGGTCGGTAGTTCAGCAGTTCGAGACCCGAGTGTGCCGCATGACGGAGTGAGCTCCCGTCTCTGGCCCCAGCTCCTGCCAACCGAGCAGTTCGAAAGCAAGACATTGCAAGTAGATAAATAGGTACCACTTCGGTAGGAAGGGAACAGCGTTCCGTGCGCCTTGGTGTGTAGTCATGCCGGCCACATGACCACAGAAACGTCTTCGGACAGCGCTGGCTCTTCGGCTTTGAAACGGAGATGAGCACCGCAACCCCAGAGTCGGACTCGACTGGCTTTCGAGCAAGGGAACCTTTACCTTTACTCATGAAAACATTTATCTCCCGCCTTTCCTTGTGGTTCAAGGCAGCTTACCAAAACATTTTAACACATTTTCAGTTAAAATCAAAGATAAAATAGCCAGCCCCAAATCTCGGTCCCCCTCTTAAAAGTTTCCTGCCATTCAACCTTCCCCCAAAGCCCTGTCAAACAGGGAGGCTTTGCAGTGCCTACTGGAGATCTCCAGGGGGGGGGCTCCTCTCACCTCTTCAAGGAGCCCCTCCCACAGAGCCGGAGCCATGACGGAAAAGGCCCTGCCTCCGGGAAGTACCAGATGGGCCACCCTAAATTGTGGGATAGCCAAAGGATGGCTCCTTGATGAACGTAGTCAGTGCACAGGGACAGATGGAAGGAGACAGGCCTTCAAATATGCTCCCTCTAAGGTGCAGGGGTCATTTCCTACAGGAGCGCACAGGAGTGGAGCTCCGGCAGTAAAGAGCCCAAGGGGTGGGCACATGCAACAAGCCCCGCCCCCTGCTCACAGCAGCCCTCAGTCAGGCCACAAGGAGCAAGAAGCAGCCAGGTAAGTTGCAGAGCCCCCCCCCGCCTTCAGGGACAAGCTCTCCCTCCTCTGTGAGGGCACATCTGCACATCCCCCCCAATAGATAGCAATCCAAAACAGTCCAGTGGAGCCTGAGCAGTGGGTGTTGCCTTCTGACACACTTCCGGTGATGTCAGAGGGCGTGGCATATGCAAACAAGTTATGCTAATTAGTTATGCTAATGAGCTCCTTCACCTCTTTTTCTACTAAATGACCCCTGCTAAGGTGTGGAGTCCTGTGAGCAAAAATTCTACTTTGAGAGCTCCTGGCATTAAAGTTCTGAGCGAGCCATTTGGCTGCTGCATAAATCAGTCCGTTCTGGAGCCCTCCTTCCTGAGCGGAGACAGAAAATGTGTGAGCCAGAGGCTAAAAAAATGTGAGCTAGCTTAGAGGGAACGCTGGTCCCAGGTTGTGAAGCACTTTAATCAGTTCCCCTGGGGAAAAAATGGCTGCTTTGGAGGGTGGGCTGTATGGCATTATAGCCCCCACAGACCCCTCCCCTCCCCAATCCTAACCTTCGATTCACTCCCAAACCTGCAGGAATTTCTCAGCCCAACTTCATCTGATGCCAATTCCAAAAAAAGGAGAAAGGCTGTGATCCTGGAAACCAGTCCCCACCACCTCCACCACCACATTCACTGCGATTTGTTTTCCCAAATCCCTCTCTTTCAACAGCATCATGCCCCGTTGCACTGGGACGGTCTACTCACACGGCACTTGGCAGGTCAGTTTTAGCATCAAGGACTAAGTTAGGGATGCAGTGTTCGTCCTCATTACACCCGTTCCAGAAAGGCACCTGTGGGGGAGAGGGAGAGGGAGAAGAAGAAGAAGAGATTGGATGTATACCCCCGCCCTTCACTACCCAAAGGAGTCTCAGAGCGGCTTACAAACTCCTTTCCCTTCCCCTTCCCACAGCAGACACCCTGTGAGATGGGTGGGGCTGAGAGAGATCTTTTGAGAACTGTCCTTGAGAGAACAGCTCTGACAGAGCTATGGCTTGCCCAAGGTCATCCAGCAGCTGCATGTGGAGGAGTGGGGAATCAAACCCGGTTCTCCCAGATTAGAGTCCGCGCACTTAACCACTACACCAAACTGGCTCTCAAAAGGGATTGGAGTCCCTGGTTTTGACAGAGAAGGTGATACAAAAGCATCACCCCAAAGTGTGCACCTGAGACATCGACGGGTCGCCCCCAACTGCAACGCAACATCCTTTAAAGGAAGATATTGCTCACCACCTCCTCACTAAGACACTGCCAAGCGCAGTGGTGTGCAGAAAACATCATTATATCTGGGTTCCTCAAAATAACCTGTGAAACTCAAGGACTGTCCACACGTGGTGCTTTCATTCATACCACGCAAGCCCTGGATGATCTCTAAGCCTCAGGCACGCCTTCCTCTTCTCCTTCCCCCTCCATTCCCCACTCCCACCACCCCCTTCTTGGCCTTCTTTGTTGCCAGTGTTGGCCCCTGAGAACCAAACTCTTCCACCTAGAAAAGCCCGTAGTCCCCGTTTCCAAGGCTGGAACTGCCTTTACTCAGGTGTAATGACTGTTACGCACAACGACTTTCAGTGAGGTTGGCCAGCCGTCATCCATCACCGGGCCACTGTCAGGACCGTCCAGGGCGTAGTCCACCGAGAAAGACACGGGCTTCACGTAATCCGCTGTGTCCTAGAAAAGGTCATCTAGTTCAGTCTCGACACCATGGTTCTCTCTTAACTGCAGAATTCAAAACCGAAGTTGCCCACAGAGAAGAAGCCCCACTGCTAGTAACTGAAGCCCTTACCATGACGTGGAAATCCAGCCGGTCACACTGTTCTTGTCCCGCAAGCAACATGGCTGCCTTGTGGGCGTGCCGGTCTCCATTTTCATCCAGATGGGCACGTGGGACATACCGGCGTCCATCAAGAGTGACATTGTAATTCAGTGCTGAAATGAAGAAGAAGAAGAAGAGTTTAGATTTATACCCTGCCCTTCACTACCCAAAGGTGTCTCAGAGCGGCTTACAAACTCCTTTCCCTTCCTCTCCCCACAACAGACACCCTGTGAGGTAGGTGGGGCTGAGAGAGCTCTGACAGAAACGGCTCTTTTTCAAGCACAGCTCTTATCAGAACTATGGCTTGCCCAAGGTCATCCAGCCAGCTGCAAGTGGAGGAGGAGTGGGGAATCAAACCCGGTTCTCCCAGCTTCGAATCCGCGCACTCCTCCATTACACCAAAACGATCGATGATTGGTTCAAAATTCTTTCCCCACGTGACATCTGATTCCAGAAATGAAAACTATCTCAAGATCCGAACTCGCATTATTAAAAACAATCCCGTCTCTTGCCCATTGGGTTCCCATGGGGTCGCCTAAACTGCAAAGGCAGGGGACAGTATGATTTATTGATATATTTCATTTGGACTCCGCCTTTCTCCCCAATGAGGACCAAAAGCACCTTACATCATTCTTCTCTCCTCCATTTTACCCTCACAACCACCCTGTGAGGTAGGCTGGGCTGAGAGTGGGTGACTGGCCCAAGGTCACCCAGAGAGCTCCCATGGCATGAGTGGGGAATCAAACTCAGTTCTCCCATGTAGTAGTCTAGCACTCTGTTCTCATCCCTGATCCCTTCTTTCTTTGCACACCTGGAATTCTGCCTCTTTCATCACCCACCTGCTAGGCAGATAAGACTGTTGCTGTTGCTTTTGAGAAGCCTGTAAGTTCTTATGTTATCAAAACACCAAAGGATGATTCACTACTTTTCCTGGGTGGAGCATGAGAGAAAGGACCAGGGCCATAGCTACAGTGGGGCTTTGGGGGGCTCTTCCCCCTTTCTTAACATCACAGCCCCAGAAGAATTTCTCCTGTAAATGCTTTTTTCAATCATTTTAAAACATTTTTAAAAGGTGTTTTACTTATTTAAGCAGAGTAGGATGCTGTACTTGACTAATTCCCACACTGAGCAAGGGGGTTGGAGTAGGTGACCTCTAGGATCCCTTCTAACTCTGGGTCAAGAAACTAGTCTCCTCTAGGAGAGTTTTTCTGCCTAAGTATCAGCTTTCTTGACTATAGAAGTCATCAGCCCTACCTGCCGGCTTGTTCTCAGGATTGTTGCTTAGGCTGGCAGAAGTGATTAACTTGCGGCAGCTGAGAACTGTCGTCTAAAGTGGCTGACAGGTTGCAATTTAGAGATCTATTCTGGCAACAGCTTTCTATGGGCTATATGGCTTTTCTTTCTGCACTGAGCCCTTCAGCCCCACCGGAAAAAAGATCTGCCACAAAAGCCACAAAATCCCATCTACGGGCCTGACCGGGGCCCACTCAGAGAGCTAGCAGAGTGTCGTTGTGGTCCCCAACTAGGACCCAGGTAGGTCAGCATTGAACCCCCAGACTGCATCGGGGGCGGAGATTGCCGGGAATTATAACTCATCTCCAGACTTCAGAGATCAGTTCCCCTGGAGAAAATGGAAGTTTCAGACAGTGTAGTGTAGAAGAGAAGAAGAAGAAGAGATTGGATTTATACCCCGCCCTTCACTACCCAAAGGTGTCTCAGAGCGGCTTACAAACTCCTTTCCCTTCCCCTGCCCACAACAGACACCCTGTGAGGTGGGTGGGGCTGAGAGAACTCTGACACAAACTGCTCTTTTTCAAGGACAGCTGTGCCAGAGCTTGTGACTGACCCAAGGTCACATCAGCAGGTGCAAGTGGAGGAGTGGGGAATCAAACCCCTACACCAAACTGGTATAGTAGTATACACCAGTTAGGTGTAGTGGTTAAGGGCGCAGACTCTAATCTGGGAGAACCAGGTTTGATTTCCAACTCCTCCACATGCTGGTGAAACCATGAGTCAGTCACAAGTTCTCTCAGAGCTGTTCTCTCAAGAGCAGTCCTTGAAAGAGCTCTCTCAGCCCCGCCTGCCTCACAGGGTGTCTGTTGTGGGGAGGGGAACTTCTTCTTCTTCTTCTTCTTCTTCTTCTTCTTCTTCTTCTTCTTCTTCTTCTTCTTCTTCTTCTTCTTCTTCTTCTTCTTCTTCTTCTTCTTCTGTCCCTGCCCGCCCCAAACTTCACCATTCCTAAATATCCAGGAATTTCCCAACCTGGAGCTGGCAACCCAAGGCAAGACTTAAATCCGGGACCTCACCCTGCACAAACTTAGCTACAGCTCTTATGAGCTGCGGAGATGAAGCTCAAACCGTGCCACATGTTTTACCTCCGCAAGGGATAAGACCTTTCTCGTAACATCTGGGTTTACAGTGAAGGGCTGTGTTAGAAATTCAAGCCAAAACTTGGGGCGGATGAAGAGCAACCCAAGCCAGAGGGCAGGAAGCGGCCACTCACCGACGCTTGCTGTCTGAAAGTGTGCCGAGAGGAAAACTGCGGTGAAGCAGAGCAGGGCAGACAGGCAGGTGGCCTCCTTTCCGTTCCGGGTGCAGTCCTTGTTGAAGATGTTGATCTTGGGCGGCTCGAACTGGACGTTGGCGCTGATGCGGACCACGCTGCGGGACCTGATGGAGAGAAGGCAGAGCGAGTCTGCTGAAGTCCTTTGCCAACCCAGAAGGACATTGCCTGGGCGGCCACTGCTCCGGATCTGCCAGCGCAGAGTGTGGCGTGAAGCCGCTGAGCAAGGAATGAGTCCTTGAGGCTCTATATAGACCCTGCCGTGACTACCTGCCTTTAACCTCTAATGTCGGAAGACCTAAAGCCAGGGCTAGTAAAGGTAAAGGTTTCCCTTGCTCGAAAGCCAGTCGAGTCCGACTCTAGGGTTGCGGTGCTCATCTCCGTTTCCAAGCCGAAGAGCCAGCGGTGTCCGAAGACGTTTCCGTGGTCATGTGGCCGGCATGAATAGACACCAAGGCGCACGGAATGCTGTTCCCTTCCCATTGAAGCGGTACCTATATATCTACTTGCAATTTCTTGCTTTCGAACTGCTCTGTTGGCAGGAGCTGTGGCCAGAGACGGGAGCTCACTCCGTCCCACGGCACTAGAGGGTCTTGAACTGCCGAACTACAGACCTTCCGGTCTGCAGCTCAGCGTCTTAACCTCTGAGCCACCGCAGCCCTAAGCCAGGGCTAAGGATTGGCTAAAGGCTGCATAGGCTGGATCCCGGCAGTTTCTTTGCTCAGTCTCTTCTGCTCCCCCTCCCCCCTGTGTCCACTGTCCCACGTGGCTTTTGCCCACAAGGGTCCCACAATCCCCGGCATAGTTTTCTCAGTAGTCAAAGGGGGGTGGGTCCCCTCCTTCCTCTTTTGACTAGCAGATGCTACAAAAGTACAGCACCATGGTTTGAAAGGGGGTTCTATCAATGTTCCCTCCGGGGCTCTTTTTGTAGAAAAAGCCCAGCAGGAACGCATTAGCATAATAGGCCACACCCTTGACAGCACAGCACATTAGCATATTAGGCCACACCCCCATGTTGCCAGAAGTGTGGTCATCCAGCCACACCCACCTTTTGCTTCTTATTCTGTTGACCTCGTTTGTTGTCAAAACCCAGGGCCTTTTTTTGTAGCAGGAACTCCTTTGCATGTTAGGCCACACACCCCTAATGTGGCCAATCCTAATGAGTTTCTGCTGTTGGGTGTGGCCTATTATGCTAATGAGTTCCTGCTGGGTGTGGCCAACTCGGGAGCCAGCCGGAACTCCGTTCCTGTGCGTTCCTGCCCCAAAATAGCCCTGGTTCCCTCTAATTTCCTCCCCCAAGTGGAGCAGTTCACAACCTGAGCGGAACAGAACTGCTGTGATTGTGAGATGCAAACCAGGGAGAGAGATCATGGGATGAACGATCGGAGAAGAACAAAACAACCGTGATGTATTATGCCAAAGAAAAATATCCACAGACTTCATAAGTTTTTATTCAATGTCCAATTTACTAGGAGCAATTCAAACGCCATAAACACCACGACGGACCGTGCGTATCTGTCTCGTTTCGTTTTCAAACTTTGTCAAAGTGGGTAGTGTTGTGCGGAAGGTGTAATTAATTCATTTAACGAGCACTCTGGCTACTACTCATGGTAACAATCTTCAAATCCATTTGAGTAATGCCTAGGGTTCCCAACACTGCCTCAGCACATGCTGGGAAATTTGGGCAGGGCAGGGTGCCTGGTGAAGGTGAAGTTTGGGGAAGATGTGGTGTTTAGTCATGCCGGCCACATGACCACGGAAACGTCTTCGGACAGCGCTGGCTCTTCGGCTTTGAAACGGAGATGAGCACCGCAACCCTAGAGTCGGATTCGACTGGCTTTTGAGCAAGGGAACCTTTACCTTTACCTTACCATGAGAAGTCCATGGGGTCGCGAAGAGTCGGACTCGACTGTGCGACTGAACAACAACAAAAACCATGAAAAGTAGCCAGAGCGCTTGTTAAATGAATTGATTACATAGGAATTTCAACGCTACCCACTTTGACAAAGTTTGAAAATGAAACGAGACGGATAGACACGGTCCGTCGTGGTGTTTATGGTGTTTGAATTGCTCCTAGTACATTGGACAGTGAATAAGAACTTATAAAGTCTGTGGATATTTTCCCTTGGCATAATACATCACGGTTGTTTTGGTCTTCTCCACCGTAACCTTGAAATGGGCAACGGGCAGTGCAAGACCCTGCACGGCTCCAGACTGCTGCCGAGTGGGGCTTCCTGTGTTCGTGAGTGGCCACTCATACCCACAGCTTAGAGGGAACACTGGTTCCAATTCCTTGGCGTTAGCCTAGGGGTACCAGGTTGCCCGCTACAGCAGGCAATCTCCCGCCCTGGGCTCCCAGCTCCCACTGCTGCAAAAGACTCCCTGTACGATCTTCCAGTGCAAACATTCCCAGGATTGCTCCGCATTTTAGCTTGAGCCTCTTTCACATCTTCATGAGACTAGGGCATCAACCAGATTCCACAACCACATGTTAATGTGTCCACTCGCAAATGGACTCTGGGCTCCCACTGCTGCAAAAGACTCCCCGTACCATCTTCCAGTGCAAACATTCCCAGGATAGCCCCACATTTCAGCTTGAGCCTCTTTCACACCTTCATTAGAAGGTCAACCAGATTCCGCAACCACGTGTTAACGTGTCCACCCACAAATGCACCACAACCAACCATAATAGCACAGCATTTCCAAGAGAGCCCACAGCCAGGTCGATAAGCTTGTCTTCATTTAGATCCAGTTGTCCGTGGATGCTGCTCCCAAAATACATCAATCCCGGAGAAAGGTCGGCCGCTGCGATTCTCTGGAAAATGGCAGAGGAGGCACCTGTCAGCGTTCCGCCAAGAGCATATCTCGCGCAATGAACATGCAGCTAAAGGACATCGGGGGCGTTGAGGCATGTGGGGTGAAAACACCAGTGGGGCAGTCCTGTGTGTCTGTAGCAGTCTGGTGGCCACTTAAAAGACTAAACATCAGGAGCTTTCATGAACCAGAGCTCTCTTCATCAGATGCCTGGGAGTATCCATCTGCTAGGTCAATGTCTTTATGGTCCTTTCCGCACTAGACCTTAAAAAAATCCTGGTTCAACCCGGTCACTGAACTTACATTCTACACTACACTCAAGTTCACCCCTGTAATTATCTCTCAGGGTATTTTTTTGTTTCCACATTACATTGTGGTCACCCTGGTTTCGCCCCACACTTGTCCTGGGATAAACAGATGCTGTTACAACCAGGGATAAATGCAAGGTACTGTGTCCTGAGTTGAACTCTGATAAAAGCAGGGATGAGATCCAAGTGCGGAAAGGACCTATATTCACACCAGAAAGGTCAGAGTGTAGAGACAAAGGCCAGTTTAAAACAAGATCCAATCAAAGCAGCGATCCAGCTGCTCAGAATGGATGTTCCATCCTGCACTTTCCTAGATTTGATTTTATGTTAATCCCACTCTGACCCATCAGGAGTGGTCCTCCTCACCCAGTCTGATTACCCTTTCGACGGGATCTTGCTCTAAACTGCTTGCTCTTCGTTGCCTCTTCCACCCACCCCACCATCTTTCTGTTGTTTGCATCCTTTAATACAAATGCATTGGGCTCATGGATGCACACGCCATGCATCTGACGAAGTGAACTCACGGAAGTGCGTGTTTTGCTGGTCTCTAAATTGTCGCTGGATTTCTGTGCATCTATGTGCACAGAGAATATGTAAGAAAGAACGGAGACAGGAAATTGTATGAGGGGTAAATCTGCATCCCCTCCTTGAGTGTTGTAGGGGTATACTAGCATTTTCTTCCGGGTGCAAAATGGTACATGCTTAAATTATGAATTAATTCACTGAAAATGTATATGCATGAGATTGCCTCTTCTTAAGTATTTCCTCTTAAGATCATAGTCAGTTTGCCCATCCCAGCAGTTTCCAATATCTTGGCTATGACTTCTTCTTTTGTAGGAACTTCAGTTCCTCTCCAATATTTTGCATATAGGATCCTTGCTGCCATTAGAATATGTATAGTAAGATAAAAGTCTTGTGCTTTATAATTTTCTGGGATTATGTTCAATAAAAACAGTTCTGGTGTACAAGGCACAATAATTTTCAACATTTTATGTAACAGTTCATGTATCCAAGACCAACATTTTTTAACTTTCTCACAAGTCCACCACATATGAAAGAATGAGCCAACATTATTGTGACATTTCCAACAATCATTTGACAATTCAGGATAAATTTTAGCCAGCTTATCTGGAGTCATATACCATCTATGAAACAAAGACGACTTTGGAAACATAGGGTCAAGATTTTATGACTGGCTAGAAGAAAATAATAACTAAAATTCCTGGACCTCTAACAGAAATGAAAAGAACTGAGAATCATAGATTAAAATATTAATCAAAATGTATAATATAAAAGTAAGGTGGATAATAAGGATATTCTAGAGTAAGATACAAAGCCAAGATATTGGCTAAATTGATGCAACTGTAAACTCCCTTTTATGTGCATGTATGTATGTGTCAGCAAGCTGCCAAATTTCTTTTCTGTTTTCCATATATGCGCTTGAGTGCTTTCGCTTTCATATGTAGACCTGTTGATGCGCTTAATTGCTTAGCTGTTGGAACGTCTATATCTCTCAAGGCCACAGGTGGTTGCTGCTAGATAGTTGCTTGGGTGATCTCACAAAGAACCGTGGGAAGGAGATATGTTATGCCGCCTAGAAGCGTTTGCTCCCAGGCCCGATGGTGCGCGGGGGAACTCCCGCAATTGGGCCTCAGTTGTTTGAATGTACTATAACCTGCCATGCTCGTTGCTCCCCACTCATTCCTAACAGTGATCCTGTACATGCACCTATAGCTTCAAATAAAAGTAAAACCTTCCTTCAAGAGTGTACTTCATTGATGCTGTGGGGAAGCCTGACAGTATGTTTGTTATATCTGTTATATAAATGAAATAAAAAAGGATGTGAAACATCAAAAATAAATAAATAAAGAGATTGCTTCTTATGGAACCAGAGCACTGGGTCATTTGAGGCCGTTCTGTTGTTTAACCAGCAACAGCTGTTTGGCACTTCAGGTTCTTCAAAACAGGTTTCTGTGAGATCTTTTAACTGGAGAATGCCACTACTGGAACCCGGGTCCCTAGGCACGAACACACTTTCCCTCTGCTTTTGTGTCTTCAGCTGAGAGATGAACCCTACCTGCTTATATTTCCGTAGGAGGTTTTCCTGGTAGCCGTGGAAGACGTAGATGGCTCCCTGGTGCTCGTCTTCCAAAGGTGCGCCCACAACGATGTCGTTGTACGAGTCCTGATTCAAGTCTGGGACGGAGGCGATGCAGGAACCAAAGCGGGAGTTCTGGTAGCTGGGGAGGTCTTCCAGGGTCCCATTGGCCATAAATTGGTCCTTGGGAGAAAAGACAGAAATGAAGAAAGAAAATAGATCGGAAAGAAAAACGGGCACGCGTGGCACACCATTTGACCACTAGCTAAGCTCCCAAGCAAAAGCTACGAGTAGAGTCACAGAATCATAGAATCACAGAGTCGGAAGGGGCCATCCGGTCCACCTAGTCCACACACACACACACCCGTTCAGCGCAGGATCAGCCTAGAGCATCACTGACAAGGGTTTGATGAGCCAGTTTGGTGCCGTGGTTAAGTGCGCGGACTCTAATCTGGGAGAACCGGGTTTGATTCCCCACTCCTCCACTGGCACCTGGCTGGATGACCTTTGGCAAGCCGTAGTTCTGATAAGAGCTGTTCTTGAAAAGAGCAGTTCCTGTCAAGAGCTCTCTCAGCCCCACCGACCTCACAGGGTGTCTGTTGTGGGGAGGGGAAGGGAAAAGAGTTTGTAAGCCGCTCTGAGACTCCCTTGGGTGAAGGGCGGGGTATAAATCCAATCTCTTCTCTTCTTCTTCTCTTTGTCCAGCCGCTGCTTAAAGACTGCCAGGGAGGAGGAGCTCACCACCTCCGGAGGTAGCCCATTCCACTGTGGCACAGCTCTTACTCGGGAATATTAAGTCTGGAGAAGAGGAGGTGGGGGCACGATTGCTCTCTTGAAGTATCTGAAGGGCTGCCGCTTAGAGGAGGGCAGGGAGCTGTTCCTCTTGGCAGCAGAGGAGAGGACTCGCAAGAATGGGTTTAAATTCAGGGCGGGAAGGTACTGGCTGGATCTCAGAGAAAACTTCTTTGACAGTCAGAGTTGTGCAACAGTGGAATCAGCAGGGGTCATTTCCTGCGGGAGCACACAGGAGCGGAGCTCCGGCAGTAAGGAGCCCAGGGGGCGGGCACATGCAACAAGCCCCACCCCCTGCTCCCAGCAGCCCTCAGTCAGAGCAAGAAGCAGCCAGGTATTACGAAATGACCCCTGGGAATCAGCCACCTGGGGAGGTGGTAAGCTCCCCCTCCCTGGCAGCCTTTGAGCAGTGGCTGAACAAACAGTTGTCATGGATGCTCTAGGCCAGTGATGGCAAACCTTTTAGAGACCGAGTGCCCAAACTGCGACCCAAAACCCACTTATTTATCGCAAAGTGCCAACACGGCAATTTAACCTGAATACGGAGGTTTTACTTTAGAAAAAACAACCCATACATTAACTTAAGATGATCCAGACAAAGTAAGGAAAGCAATCCCAAATGCTTTCATTTACTTAAAATTATTTGGCAGAGAATTCGACACTTTAATGATGGTCTGGGCCTGGCTGAGGCGATGGTATGCGTGCCCACAGAGAGGGCTCTGAGTGCCACCTCTGGCACCCGTGCCATAGGTTTGCCACCACTGCTCTAGGCTGATCCTGCATTGAGCAGGGGGTTGGACTAGATGGCCTCTCTGACCCCTTCCAACTCTAGGATTCTATGATTCTAAATATATTGGAGGGGTAGGGGAGATAAGCAGTATGTGAAGGGAACGGTAGCCAAATGGAACAAGGGGGCGTCTCCGCAGCCTGAATAGTCCAATTTGGCCTGAAGCGAAGCAAAGTCGATCATGATAAGTCCTTGGATGGGAGAGCACTAAGGACGAGCAGGCAAAAGGCAAGCCACCTCGGCTCATCTCCCCCCTAACTGGGACGACCCAGCCTCTCTCGTCACGTTTCAGAAGCGAAGTGGGGTCAGCCCCCGATTAGTCCTTGGACGGGAGACCGACAAGGATTTCCAGGGCTGCTAGGCAGGCCAGGGCAAACCACCTCGGCTCGCCACGAAAAAGCCCTCTGCTCACCAAGAAAGAGCTCTGGTGGGAGTGAGGGGGGCGAGGGGGACCAGGAGACCTCGGGCTGCACCCCGAATTCTTGGTTGAGCTCCAGCAGATCTCCCCCCCCCTCCCAAGCCACACGAGGAACAAACTCAGTGCCTGAGGAATGGTGGAGCTACGGTTACGGCTTCCTCGCCAACAGGCAATCCGCTTCCCTTCCTGTGCCAGGGTCTTAAATCTTGCGCAGGCTCCACCGAGGATGACCAATATGAGGAGAAGATTGTTTTTCCCCCTTTTCCAGAGAAGGTTTATTTTTAGTTCTTCCAGATTCCTGAAGGAGAAAGGGCTATCGTGCCCCTGCTGTCTCTGAAGTCCAAGGACTTCATTCCTGGAGATGGTCCCCGTGGGCTTGATGCCCTCTGGAAGACGGTCATGTGCTGAGGAGACCTTCTCCTGGGGGAGCTACTGATCTGTTCACTGCGCACGCAAGAGAGCTGGCCGCTTCCATGGACATGGCGGCTGAAAAACAGAGCTTTCCCACCCAGTTCATCCAGCTTCCTATCTATCCTTGTCACCGATGGTCATGTGTCCTCTAAAACAGACCAGGGACACACTGTTTGGTCTGTTGGGGAAACCGACGTATATCTCAAGGAACACCAGGGTTTCCTCAACGTCCTGCCCCCGGCTGTTTCAGGTTGGAAAAACAGTGCCATTCAGAAGGTTGTTGTTGTTATCATTATTTTATTATTATTAATTAGGAGAAGAAGAAGAAGTGATTCGATTTATACCCCGCCCTTCACTACCCGAAGGAGTCTCAGAGCGGCTTACTATCTCCTTTCCCTTCCCTTCCCCACAACAGACACCCTGTGAGGCAGGTGGGGCTAAGAGAGCTCTCTCGAGGACTGCTCTTGAGAGAACAGTGCTGAGAGAACTCATGACTGACCCAAGGTCACACCAGCAGCTGCATGTGGAAGCGTGAGGAATCAAACCCGGTTCTCCCTGCTTAGAGTCCACCCTCCTAACCACTACATCAAACGGGCTTAAACTTTTATACCACTCTCCCCGCAAAGCGGGCTCAGAGTGGTGAACTACATTTTACATCAAGGCATAAAAACAATCCATTAATCTAAATATACAGATAAAACACCCAAATCTTCTCTACGCTTGCTGTGGTCCTGATTCAAACTGAGGAGGATCTGTAGGTTGCATCCGCCTGTCTTACAGCTTCACGTGTTCAACTGTGAAGAGAGGTTCCCTCATGCTGCTACCCAGGGGTCATTTCGTAGAAAAAGAGGAGCAGGAGCTCATTAGCATAACTTATTAGCATAACTCATTTGCATATGCCACACCCCCGGACATCACCGGAAGTGTGTCAGAAGGCAACACCCACTGCTCAGGCGCCACTGGACTGTTTTGGATTGCTAGCTATTGGGGGGGAGGGGAACACGCAGATCTGTCCTCACAGAGGAGGGAGAGCTTGTACCTGAAGGCGGGCCGGGGGGGGCTCTGCAACTTACCTGGCTGCTTCTTGCTCCTCGAGACCCGACTGAGGGCTGCTGGGAGCAGGGGGCGGGGCTTGTTGCATGTGCCCACCTCCTGGGCTCCTTACTGCCGGAGCTCCGCTCCTGTGCCCTCCCTCAGGAAATGACCCCTGCTGCTACCACCGCTGTGGGTGAAAGGGAACTGAGTGGGAAGCCATGGATCTTCCCCTGCAAGAATGTGCAGTCTGGTACACATCTCCGAGAGGAAGAGGATGTGCAAGGCTCAAAGCTTGTGCCAGAAGTTTCCAAATCAAAGCACTCCTCAGGCTGCGGAGTCCCCGCACATTGGGTGCGTTCAGACAGGAGATTTACAACGGTTAGGGTGCCGGTTCCAACCGGTGTACTTACGGGCGTTCACACGACGAACATCTGCCTCCCGTCCCTAACCGTTGTAAATCCCTTTAAACCGTTGCACTCTGCCACTAGGTCCGAAGTGGTGGTAAACAGAGTGCAACGTTGTACAGCCACTTCCGTTGGAAGCCTGAGGCTTCCGGCGTTCCCCCGCCATTTTTTTTTTAAACTAGGCGATATGCGCTCGGGCGAAGCTTCGCCCTGAGCGTTTGTTTAAAAAAAAAAAGCCCTTAGTTTAACTTCCCAGAGGAGTCCGACTTTAACGTCCCGGAGGAGTCCGGGACTACAGGGAGGCCAGGTTGGGCTTTAAACTTTAAAGGTAAGTGCTTACCTTTAAAGTTTAAATGTAATGGGGGGGTTTGAGCATGCGCAAAAATCGCCATTCTCTGAATGGCTGCCTATGCGCATGCTCAAACTGCTTAAAAAAAACAACAAACGCCGACGCCCACAGCGTGTGAGCGGGCGTCCAACGGAGGGATCCGCAAAATGGAGGGTGAGTATGATCGCATTTATGCCGGCAGAAACTGCACCGGTTCCAACCGGTGCAGTTTATGCCAGCAGAAACGCCCCATCTGAACGCACCCATTGAGCGTCATGTGTGAAACACCTGACCAGCAGCCCCAAACCAAGCAAGTTACCTCTTTTAGAACATAGACGTACACCTTTCCCCGCTCTCTCCCTTCGCCGAAGTACATGGGCGCTCCAACCAAGAGAACATCGGTGACTCCATCGCCATTAACATCTGCAGAACTAATCTCACTTCCAAAATAGGCACCGATCTGGAAGAGACAGAAATTGGGGGTGGGGGAGAGGAGATGTGCATATGGAATGATGTTAGGCCTGGCCTGTGCTTCTATACTTTCATCTGCCTCCAAGAAATGAGTGGCATCTGGAACGACAGGAATTTCTAAAAGAAGCCATTTATCATCTCCATTGTCTAGACATCTCTCCCGGAAAAAAACAAACAGATTAAAACCTTTGATCCTAGAAGATTAAGGGTCATACTCGTTCCCTCGCTCTCTGACGCTGCTTTCTTCTGATTGCTCAATGTGTACAGCGAGAAGGACTGATTTATTTATGATGGGGTTCGCGTGTACTCACACCAAGGAACGGACAGCCTACCAGCCTACGGATCTTTGGCTGGCTTCCCGGGTGACATTTCTGTGCAGACAAAATTGTGTCTGTCTGCGCTGGTCTCCGGGCAATCTGGAATTGCCGTTTAATTCCCACGTGGCCGGCTCAAGCTTCCCTTCTCAAGGGGCAAAACCCAAATCTGACGGGTAGCAGGCTTAAAGACCAGCAGAAGGAACGACTTCACACAACACAAACATCGACTGATGGAAGTCGTTACTCCTCAGCAATGGCAGTAGCCGTCTGTCTCTTACTGCTCTGTGGATGGAAAGGGGGTGCTTCCCTGCATTCCCCTCTGGTCCCACAGCCTCTTCTCATACTTGGGGTCATGGGATAAATGCAGATGAATAGCTGCATAAGTGGGGGGGGGGGCGCAGAGCAGCAAGGCAAGGGGCATAATCGCTGCTGCTTCCTCTTCTAAAAGGAGAGCCAGTGGTCAGGAGTGTGAATTCTAATCTGGGAGAACTGGCTTTGATTCCCCACTCCACTACATGCAGCCAGGTGGGTGACCTTGGGTCAGTCACATGTTCTCTCAAGTTCCCTTCCCCTCCCTAAAACAGACACCCTGTGAGGTAGGTGGGGCTGAGAGAGCTCTCTGGAGAACTGCTCCTGAGAGAACAGCTTAGAGAGAACTTGTAACTGACCCAAGGTCACCCACCTGGCTGCATGTGGAGGAGTGGGGAATCAATCCCAGTTCTCCCAGATTAGATTCTGCACTCCTAACCGCTACACCACTACACACCAAAAGGCAGGATATATATTTTGTGAAATAAATAAAACAATGTGTTTGGCCAATCCACCAGCTGCATTCCTCCTTTACCTGTTCCCCTTTCAGCGACTGGTGGATGGAGAGATTTCGGTCAGTGTGCATCGTAAAAATGATCACTTTCCCCGTGTGGTTGAATCTGGGTGCTCCTGCAACATAAATCCTCCTCCATTTCGTGGACACCACTGAGGTGACGGTGTAACCTGCAGCAGGCAAACAGAACCACACATATTATTATATTTTATTCTGTTTATTTTGTTTATTTTATTTATTTATTTATTTACACATATCCTGCCCTCCCTGCCATACGGCGGCTCAGGGCGGCTAACAACGTAATAAATATACATTAAAATCCCAATAAAACTATATATCACTATAAAATCATACTGTTTAGACATAACTTACATTAATCAATAGGATGGAACATCCAATAAGCAATGCAATAGGATTAGGGTTGTAGAAATCTGGGACGAAGCAGAAATCTAAAAAGGTTCTACTTTCAAAACAGATTTTGCAGATTGACAATGAATCTGCCCATCTTGCCCAGAGGATACCATTTCAGATAGCTTTATAACTACAGGCAAAACAGGATATGCAGGAAGGAGTGCTTAGGGCTCTTTAGCTTGGAGAAACGACGACTGAGGGGTGACATGATTGAGGTTTATAAGATTATGCTTGGGAAAGAGCAGGTAGAGAAAGAGGTACTTTTCTCCCTTTCTCACAATACAAGAACTCGTGGGCACTCCATGAAATTGCTGAGCGGTCGGGTTAGAAGGGAGAAAAGGAAGTACTTCTTCACCCAAAGAGTGATTAACACTTGGAATTCACTGCCACTGGAAGTGGTGGTGGCTACAAGCATGGACGGCTTCAAAAGGGAATTAGATAAGCATATGGAGCAGAGGTCCATCAGTGGCTATTAGCCACAAGGTATAGATAGGGACTCTGGGGCAAGTGATGCTCTGTCTTCTTGGTGCTTGGGGGAGTCAACAGTGGGATGGCTTCTAATGTCCTGGCCCCACTGGTGGACCCCTCCTGATGGCACTGGGATTTCTGGCCACTATGTGATACAGAGTGTTGGGCTGGATGGGCCTTTGGCCTGATCCAACATTGGCATCTCTTATGTTCTTATGTTCTTAAGTCTGGGCCCCGAGAGGCAGAGCTCGGCTGCAGTGAGGTTAGTTGAGATTTTGATCCAACTCACAAACAGATAAGCTCCGAAGCAGAAGATGACTGAAGAGGGTTGGCAGAAAGAATAAACATGCTTTTATTTGCTGCTGTAGATTTTCTGGGTTGTGTGGCTGTGGTCTTGGCATTGTGGGACCTGACGTTTCGCCAGCAGCTGTGACTGGCA